AGAGGGTTAGAGGCTGTAGTGGATGCAGGTGTTAATAGAGACTTTATTGGATGCAGTGGGTGATAGGGGCTGTAGTGTGTGCAGGGGACATGGGAGCGGCAATGGGATAAAGGCTGCAATGGATGCCAGGAGCATAGGCGCTGTAGTGGTTATAGAGGCTGTAGTGGGGACATGGAGTAATAGAGGCTATAGTAGGGATAGAGTGTAATATGGGCTATAGTGAGGGTAAGGGAAAATAGGAGCTAAAGTGGAGGCAGGGGCTGATGTGATTAGAAAGGCTGTTGGGGTATAGAGGCTGTAGGGGGTAGTGGGGTTTTAGTGGGCAGAGAGGCTTGAGGGGGCAGTGGGGCTGTAGCAGGTAACGGCTCTGTAAAAGGTAATGGGGTTGTGGGTAGTAATGGGGCTGTAGGGTTGCAGGGATTTTAAATGCTGAAAGGGGTGCAAGGATTTTAGGGACTGTAGGGGTATATCTCACACTCAGATCTCAAGCTGGTTTTAGCTCATCATATGTCTCTGTATGTATGCCTGTCTCTGTATACAGGGAGTGCAGAATTATTAGGCAAGTTGTATTTTTGAGGATTAATTTTATTATTGAACAACAACCATGTTCTCAATGAACCCAAAAAACTCATTAATATCAAAGCTGAATATTTTTGGAAGTAGTTTTTAGTTTGTTTTTAGTTATAGCTATGTTAGGGGGATATCTGTGTGTGCAGGTGACTATTACTGTGCATAATTATTAGGCAACTTAACAAAAAACAAATATATACCCATTTCAATTATTTATTATTACCAGTGAAACCAATATAACATCTCAACATTCACAAATATACAATTCTGACATTCAAAAACAAAACAAAAACAAATCAGTGACCAATATAGCCACCTTTCTTTGCAAGGACACTCAAAAGCCTGCCATCCATGGATTCTGTCAGTGTTTTGATCTGTTCACCATCAACATTGCGTGCAGCAGCAACCACAGCCTCCCAGACACTGTTCAGAGAGGTGTACTGTTTTCCCTCCTTGTAAATCTCACATTTGATGATGGACCACAGGTTCTCAATGGGGTTCAGATCAGGTGAACAAGGAGGCCATGTCATTAGATTTTCTTCTTTTATACCCTTTCTTGCCAGCCACGCTGTGGAGTACTTGGACGCGTGTGATGGAGCATTGTCCTGCATGAAAATCATGTTTTTCTTGAAGGATGCAGACTTCTTCCTGTACCACTGCTTGAAGAAGGTGTCTTCCAGGAACTGGCAGTAGGACTGGGAGTTGAGCTTGACTCCATCCTCAACCCGAAAAGGCCCCACAAGCTCATCTTTGATGATACCAGCCCAAACCAGTACTCCACCTCCACCTTGCTGGCGTCTGAGTCGGACTGGAGCTCTCTGCCCTTTACCAATCCAGCCACGGGCCCATCCATCTGGCCCATCAAGACTCACTCTCATTTCATCAGTCCATAAAACCTTAGAAAAATCAGTCTTGAGATATTTCTTGGCCCAGTCTTGGCGTTTCAGCTTGTGTGTCTTGTTCAGTGGTGGTCGTCTTTCAGCCTTTCTTACCTTGGCCATGTCTCTGAGTATTGCACACCTTGTGCTTTTGGGCACTCCAGTGATGTTGCAGCTCTGAAATATGGCCAAACTGGTGGCAAGTGGCATCGTGGCAGCTGCACGCTTGACTTTTCTCAGTTCATGGGCAGTTATTTTGCGCCTTGGTTTTTCCACACGCTTCTTGCAACCCTGTTGACTATTTTGAATGAAACGCTTGATTGTTCGATGATCACGCTTCAGAAGCTTTGCAATTTTAAGAGTACTGCATCCCTCTGCAAGATATCTCACTATTTTTGACTTTTCTGAGCCTGTCAAGTCCTTCTTTTGACCCATTTTGCCAAAGGAAAAGAAGTTGCCTAATAATTATGCACACCTGATATAGGGTGTTGATGTCATTAGACCACACCCCTTCTCATTACAGAGATGCACATCACCTAATATGCTTAATTGGTAGTAGGCTTTCGAACCTATACAGCTTGGAGTAAGACAACATGCATAAAGAGGATGATGTGGTCAAAATACTAATTTGCCTAATAATTCTGCACTCCCTGTATATGTCTCTTTATGATGTATGTCTCTGTATGTATGTGTCTGTATGATGGTATGTCTCTTTTTGCCTTTATGTCTCCGTATGTATGTATGTTTTTGTATGACTGTATGTATCAGAGGCGACTCTAGACTTTATGAGGCCTTAGGCGAAACTCAAACCTGAGGCCCCAATAACAAAAAAGTGTCACATTGATGCACAGTTTACCTGTGTATGTGCCTGAGTGTGTGTCGGACAGAGAGTATCCTTGTGTGTAAATGTATGTCTCTGTGAGCATGTTTGCGTTTTTGTCTGAGACCCTATGTGTATGGGGTAGCTGCTTGAAGTGTGTATAGGGGGGGTGATGGTGAGAGGGAGAGGGAGGTGATGGTGATGTGGAGAGGGAGGGGGTGATGTGGAGGGAGGGGGGTGATGTGAGGGAGGGGGGTGGTGAGGCTGAAGGGGAGGTGGTGAGGCTGAAGGGGGTGGTGAGGCTGAGGGGGGGTGGTGGTAGTGTCATAAAAATCAATTCTCTAAAATCATTTATAATGGCAGCATTTACCTTGTAAATAAAATTAGAATGTATAATATTCTAAAAATATTTTATAAATAAATAAATACTTGGTGGTGGGGTGGTGAGGCTGAGGACAGGGCCGGACTGGCCCACCGGGATACCGGGAAATTTCCCTGTGGGCCGTCAGCACCTGGGGCCGGGCAGACACCTGGGTCTGCTGGCGGCCGCTGGGGGAGCTGCACTGGCTCTGCTCTCCAGCGCGCAGCTGAATGAGACCGGCGCCGGAATATGACGTCATATACAGTAATTCAAAACTCAGTGAGCACTTCCCTTCAGACCGCCGCTGGCCGGGTACAGGAAACAGAGGTGGGTGGGTGTGAGACAGGAGGGGGTGGGTGTGAGTAAGGAGGGGGGGGGAATAAGGACCACC